ACCCGCCACCTTAGGTGTATGTGGCTGGCGCCTTAGCCGATTGAGCCACAGGCGCCGAGCCAATGTTATTTGTATTTTAATGAAAAACCATTTTCACAGCTCTGCGCCTGTGGCTCAAGTGGCTAAGGTGCTAGCCACATATACCTAAGGTGGTGGGTTTGAATCCAGCCTGGGCCTGCCAAACAATGATAGCTGCAACCAAAAAAAATAGCCGGGCATTGTGGCAGGTGCCTGTGGTCCCAGCTATTTGGGAGGTGGAGGCAGGAGACTTGTATAGATCTGCAATGGTGGAATTTCAGGTTTTGAAAATAAAATCAGACAATACATTGAATGTGCATAAAACACCATCTATGTAAGTTCAAGAATCTCTAACTTTATTTTTGGCCCAGGCTGTGCGCCCTGCTCCTTTGAGCCACAAGCGCCTCTCTATTTAATTTATTTTTTTCCATTTTTTGAGACAGAGTTTCACTTATTAACCCTCGGTAGAGTGCTGTGGTGTCACAGCTCACAGCAATCTCCAATTTCTTGGACTTACGCTATTCTCTTGCCTCAGCCTCCTGAGTAGCTGGGACTACAGGCGCCTGCTACAACACCCAGCTATTTTTTTGTTGCAGTTTGGCCTTGGCCGGGTTTGAACCCACTACCTTCGGTATACGTGGCCAGTGCCCTACTCACTGAGCCACAGGTGCCGCCCAGAACCTCTAACTTTATAGAGATTGGTAAAAGAAAGTTAATACACATCAAATGGACATAGTTCAAGACAAGTCTGGATAATTTATTAAAAGATTTGTTTTGGGCGGTGCCTGTGGTTCAAAAGGGTAGGGCGCCGGCCCCATATGCCGGAGTGGCGGGTTCAAACCCAGCCCCTGCCAAAAATTGAAAAAAAAAAAAAAAAAAAAAAAGAAAGATTTGTTTCAGGGTTTCTCCATTGTTACTGCCTCTAGTTATTTAAAATCACAATCATATTTATCGTCTCAGAGAGGTGACTTCATTTTCAACAGATTTGCAATAAAACTGCAGAGGAAAGGTTTAAGCAATAGCCTAACCTGCAAAGCACTCCAGTCATATTTTGATATTTTGTCCACGTATTTGAAATAAGTGGATAAGAGCTGTTAACACTGAGGAGTTTTACTCCCCAAACATGCAGAAGAGCAGGGTTGTATCAAGCCATTAAGGGTTAGTTTTTTTTTCTTTTAAGACAATTCATTCACTCTCCAAGTATTTACTGAGCACCACTAAATGCTTCGGACCTATGAATGCACAATATAGGCCAAAGATTCCCATTGCCACATCCTGAGGGTGGTTAACAGGGGAAGGGACAGAGTGAACAATAAAAAACAAAACAAAAACCTGGGATTCCCTCCATGAAAATGAAGTAGTTTTCCAAGTTGAGCTGGTGAATTGGGTTGTGAGGAAAGAATATTTACAACCAGGGCCCAGAACTAGGTTTAACCGACACAACCCTGGTATGCTAATTACAACTTTTAAATTCTCCAAGGTGGTTAACACTTCTAAACAAATAACAGGTTTAGGCCTTAAGGAAGAAAGTGCAGCTCAGATCAGTAATAACAGAAAATGTGCTAAGGTTCGTATTTGGAATTCTGTTCAAATCAGATGTGCCTCGCCTATTTATAATCTGATTTAAAGTTTGGGCGGACCCAGCTGCGTAGGTCTGTGTTTCCCGGGCCGGCGCGAAATCCTCGTTACCGGCGGAAAACTTCACCGCTTCGCGCTGTTTTTTTCCGCCTCTGTCCACGCTCCGCTGACGCGCGGACGCGGAAGTGCTTTAACAACACCCCAGACAGCCTAAGAGCTGAACTCTTGAGTTGATCAGACATTACTCAGAAAAGGGATTCAGATCGGGACCATTTTTTCAACTAAGCGCGCCTGACACATTTAATAGCCAGGCAAAAGCGACACTTCCTCGTTTCCAATTAGGCGTCCAAGAGGAAGAAAGGCAGCGCTTCCGGGGGAGGGAGCCACGGGTGTAGGATCACAGCCCCCTCTGGCCTCCTCGGTGTCTTTTCCTCAGCGTCACTTTTATTTTTGGCTTAGTTTGAGCCGGCACCACAGAAAGAATGGCTAACTGCAGTACAAAGTGGGGGCGACGATGGGGTGTGAATCCCCTCTAAACGAAGCAAAGACGCCAGCGAAGCAAACCCCGCTCTCCGGCCTGCTCCGGTCTAGCAAAACACCAGCCCTGCCTTCCACAACCTCCCAAGGCAAAGGGGAAGCCGCCCGCTGGCGGGCGGGTGGGCAGGCAGGCAGGCGGAGCCGCCTATAACCGCGCGAGATTTCACGTCTTTAGCCACGAGACTTCCCAGAAAGCCTCAGGCAACATCTTTACAGCGGCCAGGGAGCCGGTTTAGGGCGGAAGGATGGGCGGGGTTTGCCCAGATATTTAGCGGCCCCCAAGGCCACGCCCTAATCGGAAGTGACGGAGACGAGCTAGCGCGTCGAAGCTACCTCTATGGTTTTCCTCTCGTTCTCGAGTCGGGAAATGGCCGCTGTGTAGTTACAACGGAGATAAGTCCCGGGAACCGTACTTCGGCGTGTCAGGTAGGCCTTGCGCTGCATTCAGGTTACTCAAAGGGCACTGAATACCGAGGACGAGCCAATATTGTTGGCTCTTTTGTGGGTGGTGTCGGGTTGGCAACGATAGGAGAATACAGGAGACTTGCGCCGTTATTTGTGGGTTTTTCTGTCAGTTTACCTCAGGTTTTTGAGGCGCTGGGGGTCCAGAAGGTGGGGGCTGGGTGAGCAGTGCGAACGGTGCGCGCGCGCGCGCGGTGGCGAACCTGGCTCGAGACCTGGACACCGCGCGGCCTCTCCTGCGCGTGCGCACACCTTCCTCTTGAACCCTTCCCCCATTCCGTCGTCCCGGACCCCTGCGCGCACCGGACTGAACGCTGCGCGCACGCGCGTTTGTTTTTTCTCCCTTGCCCGCCCACGGCGCCCGCCGCTGCGGGAGGTGCAACTTGTGGCCGCTTCCCATTGGCTGGGTGCGCTACCTTTCTTCCCGGCTTTTGGGGCTTTGATAAAGAACTGTGGCCTGCACCAAAGTGCTTTAGTAGGGCGACCTCTTCTTGCCTTTTCGTTAAGGCCTTTTCTCTGGCTTCAGACTACCTGTTGGTTTACGGTTCATTTTCGTTCTTCTGCTCGGTTATAGATCTTGTTCTACTTGCCGTCACTGACCCCGCCACTCGCCTTTGGCCCTTGGTATGCAGGAATGTCTTCTCTGGGGTTAATCTTCTCGGTCCCCTTGGCAACACCCTCTATTTTGAAGCTCACAGTCTGGATTATTGTATTTGGTGGTTAGTAACTGTTTTCTAGCGTGAGGATGGGGTTTTACCTGATGGATCTACGAGTGGCCCTGCCACACTGGTGCTAAAAGTGCAGTTCTCCATTGATAGGAGCGAAGCTGTGTTTTTGAGCAAGTAATTTAGCCCATTAAGTCGTGTCAGAAATGTTGCAGCCGCGATTGATAGACAGCGGTGGGGTAAATGGGTGGGAGCGGTGAATTGAGGTTTTGAACTTTGCCTTCATTTTAAATACATGTATTGATTGACTTTATCCCCTTCCATCAAGTAGCAGCAGCAGCAGCAGCAGCAGCAGCGCCACACTGATTGTCTAGATGAAAATTCCGTGTTTCCAATTCTAAAGCACTTAAAGACTAATGTTGAAATCAAATCTGGCTAACTCAGATAAAAAGGATTAAGTACTTTAGACTGATACCCTATTGCAGCAGAGTCTTTTTTTTTTGAGACAGAGCCTCAAGCTATCCCCCTGGGCAGAGTGCGGTGGCACCACAGCTCACAGCAACCTCCAACTTCTGGGCTCAAGCGAGTCTCCTGCCTCAGCCTCCCAAGTAGCTGGGACCACAGGCGCCGGCCGCAACGCCCGGCCCATTTTTTTTTTTTGGTTGCAGCCGTCATTGTTGCTTGGCGGCCCGCGCTGGACTCGAACCCGCCACCTCAGGTGTATGTGGCTGGCGCCTTGGCCATTCAAGCCATAGGCGCCGAGCCAGCAGAGTCTTAACATTTTGTAATATTAGAAAGCAAAACAATGTCTTGTCCTTTTCTTGAATTCTAATTTCGGTTTGACACGCGTTGGAATGGTTAGGCTACTGTTTAGACAAGAAAAAACTTGGGAAAAACTACTCTTAAGTTTATTTGCATTTTATGTGATCCTAAACAATTCAGGATAAATAATTGGCTAGGACGGATTGTGTGTCTAAAGTAGTTAATGGTAATCAAGCTAAAACCTATCTACTGATAGTTTGTAGCATCTAATTTTAAGGATTTCACATTTTCAGCATAAGTCATGAACACTGGGGTTTCTCTTAATTCAGGTAGTTAAAATAGTAATAAAGGAGCCTTTACCTATAGCCCATTCTTTTTTTTTTGGGTCTAGGATTGGGTTTGAACCCACCACCTTACACGCATATGGGACAGGTGCCCTACCCTTTTGTGCCACAGGCACCGCTGAACAGCCAGTTCTTGACTGGCAAGAGCAATAGTAGTTTAGGACTTTGTGAGAGAACTAAAAGTACTACTCTTTGGTACGCTCAGGTCTAGTTAATTTATTAAACAAGTTTTGTGGGTAAGAAGCTATGGTAGGTTAACTGGGCCATGAGAAGACTTGTAGGAATGTAGAAAGTTTTCTCAGTTCTACCTAGAACTTAGATTGGGAGTTTGGGGATCATTTGAACATTAGTTGAATTCTGCCATGTTAGTTGAACACTGGTTGAATTCTGCCATGTAATTTGCAGTGATTTGTTATTTAACAAGTAAGTAGATGAGAATATCGAGAGAACCAGCATCTCTGGAGAGTAAGTGTAAATGTTTAGGTTATACTTGTAGGATATGAATTTATTTTTCATATCCAGGTTCTTAAGCAGTGGTTATCAGTGTAATTCAGTGAAAACCAACCAGTCTGCTAACAGGAAGATAGTAACAATACTAGACTGTATTTGTGTAATACTTTGGAGAATTCAAACTTTTAAATTTGCTTGATCTAGTATTTCATTTTCTAGGTGGAAAACAAAAAGAAACTTAAAGGTCACATAAACCAGAGAGTGGTACAATCTGGTCTAGAAGGCAGGTATTCTTTTTTTTTTGGAGACAGTATCACTGTGTCTCTCTAGGTAGAAGTGGTGTTACAGCTCACAGCAACCTCACACTCCTGGGCTTAAGCAATTCTCTTGCCTTAGCCACCCAAGTAGCTGGGACTACAGGTGTCCACAAAGCCAGGCTATTTTTCTGTTGCAGTTGTTATTGTTGCTTGGCTGGATTTGAACAGGCCAGCCTCAGTGTATGTGGCTGATGCCGTAACCACTATGCTATGGGCGCCGAGCCTAGAATGCAGGTATTCTGATTCTCAGTTCTTTGCCCCTTGATTTAGTGAGATGTCAACAAATTGGACTGAGAACTAAAATTTTATGACTTTTTATTTTTGAGACAAGTCTCATTATGTAGCCCTTGGTAGAGTGCTCTGGCATCATAGCTCACAGCAATCTCAAACTATTGGGCTCAAGAAATTCTCTTGCCTCAGCCTCCGAAGTAGCCAGCCTTCGAAGTAGCCTCTGAAGGCAGCTGGGACTACAGCTGCCTGCCACAAGGCCTGGCTATAAACTTTTTCTTTTTTTTGAGACGAAGTCTCATTATCTCGCCCTTGGTAGAGTGCTGCGGTGTCATAATTCAGAGCAACCTCAAACTCTTCGGGCTCAAGCGATTCTCTTGCTTCAGCCTTCCAGTAACTGGGATACAAGTGCCCAACCTCGGTATATATGGCCAATGCCTTACCCACTGACCTGTGGTGCTGCCAATAAACTTTTCTTTTTTAAAGGTTTTAATTATGGAAATTTCCAAGCACAAAAATAGAATAGTGGACTGTCATGTTTTCATCTAGGTTTAATCGCCAGCATTGTACTAATCATGTTTAATAATACCATTTTTCTGCTTTTGTGTTTTTAATAATACTTTAAGACATGGAGTTTCAATGTGTTGCCCAGGCTGTACTCTTAGGCCTCAGCCTCCCCAGTAGCTCGGATTACATGTGTCCATCACCAACCTGGCTTTTGTAGAGAATTGTAAAGCAAAATTCTGGACATTTTAATGAGCATTCTTGGAAAGACTTAACGTTAATACTTATGAATGCTATACCAAAATATTAGAGGAACATGTAAGAATTTGAAGTGAACTTACTGGATAACCTGTAGAAAGACTGCTATCACCAATAATGATAAGCTGATGCTAGATTGCATGCCATGTGTCAAATTAAGCTGGTTTTGGCTGATACCTGTGGCTCAAGGAGAAGGGCACTGGCCCCATAATACCGGAGGTGGTGGGTTCAAACCCGGCCCTGGCCAAAAACTGCAGGAAAAAAAAAAACGTTAAGCTGGTTTCGTTAGTTCACTTAACCTTAAACCTCTAAGTACAGGCTCGGCGCCTGTAGGTCAAGCGGCTAGGGCGCCAGCCACATACACCTAAGGTGGTGGGTTCGAATCCCCAGCC